GCCAAGCGACCCACCGCGGGGGCCCCCCAGGCCTGTGAGTCAGAGGATTCTGACGTGGCTCCGCCCCACGTCCACCCGTGCGACCGTGCTCCCCTCCTTTCGGCAGGTGGGTGCCCCCACTTGGCCCCTGCCACCCTGGGACCTCAGCACTCCACTGAGTTTCGGTTTTCCAGTTGAGTTGCATGGTCCCTTCTAGGGAGGGGCCGCGGGCCTCTTCGGGGGTGCCGGGGTCCCCACTGTCTCGGTGGGAGGGGCCTCTGTTGGATCCTCTCCATGTAGATGAACGGCCTTAAATGGCAGAGTCACTTCCACATCCCCAACCCTTTGAATCCCTTTCTCTCCATTGGACATTTCTAACCCACTCACTGTGGGCCACCTTCTGGTCCATGTTTCAGCCACCCAGGCTCTCAGAGCTGACCCTGACCCTGACTCCGACCCTGACACCGATCCTGACCTTAACCCTGACCCCAACCCTGACCCTGAAGCTGACCCTAATCCTGGCCCTGACCCTGACCCTAACCCCGACCTGCTCCTGACCCTGACCTGACCCTGATGCTGACCTAACCCTGACCCCGACCCTGACCCTGACCCCGACCCAATGCCGATGCTGATGCCGACGCTGACCCTGACCCTCTCAGACCCTGACCCCGACTGCCCAACGCCGATGCTGATGCCGACGCTGACCCTGACCCTGACCCTAACCCTGACCCTGATCCCGACCCCAACACCGATGCTGATGCTGACACTGACCCTGACCTTCTCAGACCCTGACCCCGACGCTGACCCCAACCCCGACCCTGACACTGACCCTGATGCTGACCCTACCCCAACGCTGACCCTAACCCTGACCCCGACCCCGACCCTGATGCTGACCCTCACCCCAGGTTGTGACGTGAACACGGATGGCTGCTTGGTGAGCCCACGTCGGCTGTCTTGGGTCTGCCTGCTCCAGCGTTATCTTCCTGCCGCTCTTCTCCCACAGCCTCCACATCCATCCCCACACATTTCTGCGTATAAAGTAGAAAACTCGAGTAGCTCTTTAGGAACAGAGCCCACTTCCTCAGGGGTCACACTCTGCACCCACCTTCAGGCCCGAGGCTTCTGGTCACAGGTCTGGAAGCAGACGGCCAGTAGGCAGGGTCCCGAACGTCGTGCTGCAGGCCGGCTGCCGCTGAGGGGCCATGTGGCCCCCAGGCGGTGCAGGGATGGGACGCTCTGCGGGGTGGGAGCTGTGTGAGGGTCAGGACTCCTCCCCAGTGTCACCCTCCTCAAGCTGGCCCTGCTCCCAGAGCCCACCGCTAGGGGCTCTTGAATAAAGTCTCCTGGGTCATCGTGCACAAATCACACGATGACGTCTCAGCCCAGAAGAATGAGTCTGAAGGAACCAAGCCACCTGGTTGACCTTGCCGATGGCGTTTGCGACCTTGGGTGCGAAGGTCTGGAAGCTACCCCTATGCCCTGACCCTCCCCCACGTTCGCTGGCACAGGCCCCAGCACCCGCCCCGCCCCGGGGGACCCTCACCACCGTCTCTGTGGTTTCCCGAGCCCACGTGATCACCCGCTGCACCTCCCCAGCCCCCCAGGGCCCCCACTCCACATCCATCCCGTGTGGGGCTCTGGGCGTCCTTCCCTGTCCAGCCCGTGAACCTCAGGCCCAGGGAAGGTGAGGACGGCCGTCACGTCCGGATGAGGCGACAGGAGGACACCTGCCGTCCAGGGCCGGCTTTGCCTGCTTCTGGGTGGCACCGCCCGTCCGTATGGAGCCCCCACCGCGAGGGACGGTGGCCTGGGCCTGCTCTCAGCCCGCCAGCAGGCGGCAGCCCGGAGCCGCCCGGCCCACTGTGGCCTGCCCCCAGAGCCTGTGTGGGAGGCAGGCCACACCTGCCTGGCCCCGAACGGGTTTCCTGCAGGTGTCCCCGCCCGCACACCTGGGCTGAGTCACCGGGGCGTGGCTCAGCACTGACCCGGGAGGACCTGTCCCTGGGCTCCCAGCCGGGCAGTTCCGGGGCAGCGCCCACACTGTGCCCCGTCCGCCCATCTCCCCCCCCAGCCGTCCCTGGCGTGCGCAGCTCCCCGGGGCTGAGGGGCCTGTGAGGGGACAGCGTGGGCGGGCCTGGCCGCACAGTCCCCGGGGCCACAGCAGGACCCTTCTCTCCTGTCGGGGCAGGGAAGGGCTTTCACGCCTCATGCGCTCGCAGGCCGCGGTGTGTGGGCGCAGACGGGCCGGACAGCATCCTCCCACGGCCGCGCGGCGGGGACGCTGCTGGAAATGCAAGTGGGCGGCCAGCTGAGCGCCCTCCAGGCCCACCTGCCTGGGGGGGGCTGGGCACCACCAGGGCGGCCCCCGTGGGCCGTGTTCCCCATGCTGCGTGGTTTGGGGGCAGCGGAGGAAACAGACTCCGGCCAGCGAGCTGAGGGACGCCGTGTCCCTGTGAGTTCCCAGGCCGGTGTCTCATGGTGAGTGCGGTCCTGGCGGCTGGTGGCCCCTCGGGTGTGTAGGGCCAAAGGCTCATGACCTCGGCAACTTCTCACGGTGGGGTGGGAAAGGTCCGCATGTGGGCGCTGGGTGGCTCCCTTGGTTACGTGGCCAAATCTTGATTTCGGCTCAGGTCATGGTCTCAGGGTCGAGGCACTGAGCCCCGCGTGGGGTCTGATTCTCTCCCTCTGCCCACCCTCCCCACTTGTGTGTGCTCTCTCTCCAAAACAAATAATCTTTCGAAAAGTTATTTAACAAAAGACAATGTACAGATGTGGGCACGCGGGACGCGGGAAGGCGCGCCACATCACCAGCTGCTGAGTCGGGGGGTCTGCAGAGCCGGGTGCATGGCGGGAGGCACGCAGCCAAGACTTTCCACACGCACGCCAGGACACGGGACAGCGTGTGCGTCGGACACCTCCCTGCCCTGAACCCAGAGGCTGGTCCAAGCAGGTGCCTGAGCTGGGAGCAGCCCACGAGGAGCACCTGCTGGGGGCACGGGGAGCATGTGTCTGGGGCATGGGGAGCACCTGCTGGGGGCATGAGGAGCATCTGTTGGGGGCACAGGGAGGACGTACTTGGGGGGATGTGGAGCACGTCCTGGGGACACGGGGAGCACCTGCTGGGGCCAGGGGGAGAATGCACTGGGGCACGGGGAGCATGTACTGGGGCATGGGGAGCACCTGCTGGGGGCCCAGGGAGCACGTCCTGGCCAGGGCCCTAGGGAGCATCTGGGAGTATCCACTCGGAGCACGCGGGACCATGTCCTACAAGCAGGTGCAGGGTGAGGATGTGGAGGCTGAATGGGGCCTTTCTGCCTCTAAGCTGGGTCTGGGGTGAGGCGCCCCCCCCGGCCCCGGGCGGCAGGGCCCTGCACTCTGGCTGGTGACACCGTGGAGCCTGCAAGTGCGCAGACCGCCAACCGCAGCCCTGCCCGCGCTGGGGGCGCGAGGCCTCGGCTGAGCCAGCTGTGTGCGTGCTGACCGGCGTGCCCCGCGGTCGGAGCCCAGCCCGGAGCCCAGGGCTGCCCCTCCTCCTCCCCCGGGATCTGGCTCCGAGGAGGGTGGGGCTGCCCACGCAGGGCTGGGAGGGCGTGGCGGGCCTGGCACACAGCAGGTGCCCGGGGTCCCTCCCACCCTCCCACCCCCTCCGTCGGGGAGAGCCGGGAGCAGAGGCCGGTGACTGTGCCCAGGTCCCTGCTGGCTGGCCCCCTCCCCTCCTCCTGGCCCCCGGCTCCAGGGCCACCTGGGGGCCGCCCGGCCCGGCCTGGCTCTGCCCCGTCACTCCCGGGTCTAGCCGAGGCACACATCCGCCGGCCACCTAGGTGGGAGCGTCCCCGGGGATGTCAGGTCCTCGTGACATCGTGTCTCACACATGGTCCCTCCTGAGCCACCCTGTGGCGGTCAGGGGGCCCTCCTGCCCCGTGGGGTGCCGCCCTGAGGGAATGTGCCTGCGGGGCCTTCCCACTCGCGCGACGGCTGTGGGACACCCACAGGGGCCCATGGTCCGCTCAGGGCCAGCAGACTGAGGTGCTGCCAAGGTCTGACGGCCCAGAGTGGCTGCTGTCACCCCCAGCGGTGGGGGTGCAGGGACGATCACATGGGGCCGGCCCAGGGCGCGCACCCCCGCCGCCACACAGCCCGGGTCAGCCTGGACTCGAGGCCCGCGCCCAGAGCGTGGCCCCGGGGGCCAGGGTGGGGAGCCCCTCGGTTCCCAGCGGCCGCCCACGCCCCCTCCCCCCGGGAAGTTAGGGTAGGGAGGCGTTCAGGTGCCGGTTACCGGGTGGAGCTGGCTCGCTCGGTTCACGTCTAATTACATGTGGCTGCCGCAGTTGCTAAACATAAGTCACAAGCGTTTGACCACAATTACGGTAATTACGTCCCTATGAGAAGGTCAGCAAAAATGACCTCGGAGGGGAAGCAGTGTGACAGCAGGGACTCGGAGGCCAGGGCGCCAAGCGGGAAGGCACGGGCCCACGTGGGCGCCTCCCCGGGCAGGGGCGCCTGCACTTCTCACCGGGGGACGGGGGGCAAGGCGCGGAGGGGGATGGGCCGGGTCCTGACATTTTCCGGGAGTGTCCGGTTCCGGGGGCGGCTGACTCTTGGGTGAGCAGGTTCAGATGACAGGAGCGACCGCCAATGCGTGCCCCATAACCTCAGGCCTGGGCGGGGAATAAAAGTACCTACACGGGCTCGGCCGTGGGGAGCACGCTGGGGAGACGGGCCCCACACGGCCTGAGTCGGGCCTGCAGGGCCAGGCTTCGGGCGCCCACCAGGGATGAGGCTTGAAGCTGAGGTCGCCCTGAGAATCGAGGCACCAGCCACTTTCCTAGTCACCCAGACTCAACCGAAACAGACCTTGCCCCGCGGCCCACGTGACCCCGAGCGGGCAGGGCTGTGTCCTGCGCCCGTCCCAGGACATGCGGGCGCCCCGACGGCCACCGCCCTGCTCCTGGGCCTGCCTCCCGAGGCCCGCCCTGCGCAGGGGCCGCAGCCCCGGAACACATCGTACGAACGAGCCCAGGTGGCACCTGGTAGACGTTTTTTGATGAAGACACGTGACCGGTGAAGCTTGATGCTGACCTGACCTTGGGCCACAGCCTTGTCCCTCCCCACACCCTCCGGCGTGGACCATGGGGTGGGGCGGGTGGCCCCCTGGGCGAGCATCCTGCCCTTCCCCACAGTGTCCACCTGCTGAGTTGTGCTGGGGCTGCTGGCACCGCTGAGTCCGTGACGGAGCCCGTGGAAGGCACCCAGCCCCTTGGCTGCTGTCACCTGGAGGGGGGGGCAGCGTCCCTCCGCAAAGTCCCTCCTCGCCTTTGTGACTCCGGCAGGTCCAGGTCTTGCACCTTCCGCGTCTCCTCTGCTGTTGGAGGACAGTGCGTGCGGGAAGTCCCCGAGTGTTGCTCCGGATGCCGGATGCCCAGCTCCTTCCCGCTGTGGCCTCCTGTTGGCTTTAACTGGAGAAATGCTCACTGGGACGTGACCCCAGCCATCTGTGGACGGGCACATTCCAAGATGCCTTTACTGCCAGGAAGACCCCACACGCCTGCTGGCAAGGACCCCTCTGGTTCAAAATCGATCCCATGGGGGTTGCTTTGCCCCTGACCAGGCCCTAGCAGGTGGCGTGCGGCAGCTGGTCACTGGGCAGCCTCAGACAGCCATGCCCACCCCAGGCCCAAACCTAACAAGCCCCCTCAGAGCCTGACACCACAGGCACCGAGGACCCATTTATGGGGACGTTTCACTGCCGGGTCAGGAGGGTCAGCAGCCCCACTGTGCCAGGCACACAGGTGCCCAGCAGGCCCTGAGCTTCGCTGAAGCACAGACCTCCCCAGGAGCTGGGCGAAGGCCCAGGAACCAGTTCTGCTGCTGTGGCCTCACCCCACCGCTGGCTGGTGGCTCATCAGGAGGAGGGAAATCTGGAAATTCCTGCTCCAGAGACCCTCAGGAATCTGGAGGTACCTGTGTCCCCAGGAGGGAGGGCCTGTCACAGCGCCTCAGGTCTGACAGCAGCAAGGCCAGGCCCTGCCCAGGATCCTGCTGGACTCGTCCAAGAGCACCGCCAGGTGAGCATGGGTCCCTCAGCCCTTGTTTTTTTTTTTAAATTTTTATTTATTTATGATAGTCACAGAGAGAGAGAGAGAGAGGCAGAGACACAGGCAGAGGGAGAAGCAGGCTCCATGCACCAGGAGCCCGACGTGGGATTCGATCCCGGGTCTCCAGGATCTCGCCCTGGGCCAAAGGCAGGCGCCAAACCGCTGTGCCACACCCAGGGATCCCTCAGCCCTTGTTTTTAATGACTGGACTCACTGTTTTAGGCTCACGAGAAAAACCAAGTAGACCGCGTTGGCTGCGCGGCCGCTCAATTGGTGAGCTCATGCTGCCGTCTTCCAACGGGAGGCTGTGACTGTCCAGTCCTGTGTGAGTTCTGTGGCTCTTGACAGCTGCGCGTCCTGCATGCACCGCTGCAGTGGCCCAGTTTTAGGGAAGAGGACCTGGGCACAGGTGGCTTGGCAGTCCTCCAGGTCGTGGGGGCCTGAACCTAGGACGGAACCAGAGATGGCCTCTGCCTGTTGGCCCCGTGGTCACCAGGGGCTTCTGAAACCTTGTGAATCATCACTCTGGCCGGTAGCACTCGGTCTTGGCATTTGTGACATGACGGGGTCCTAAAGCGGCCCCTGCCCTTCCCCGGATCCCGACGACCTTGAGGGGCAGCCTCTTTACCACAGGCAGCACTCGGGTGTGAGCTGCTGCAGAGCCGCGTGGACATGGCTGTGGGTAGGAGGTGGTTGCAGGTTCCTCTCCCCGGGGCCTGGGTGGTGGTTTCACTTCGCCCACTTCTCATAGCACTTCTGCACCCGGGGACCTGCAGAGAAGGGGCAGGCACTGCAAAGGGGCTATGGGGAGGGGTGCAGGAGTCCTCAGCCTCCAAGCTGTCCCTGGGCACAGGGCGACATCCCTTCCACGACTGGGCTGGACCCCAGGGGGGCAGGACCTACCCAGTCCAGGGCTTCTCCAAATGGATCCCTCAGCTGTCAGCACGTTCAAGGGGTCGCCCCCCCCCACCGCCCTGCGGGTTCACCAGGCCGCTCTCAGTTCCAGCTGTGTGGGCGCCTGCAGATGAAACCTCGCCAGAGGTGACAATTGCATCCCTGCAACCAGTGACATTTCTAACCCTCTGACCAAAGAGTGCAATGTGCAAAGCAACAGGTGGAAGAGGTCACTCCCCTCCCCACAGTCACTTGACATTCCTCCTGAAACGTGTCCCGGCTGGAGAAGAAACGCGACGGCAGGTCAGTGTTCTCCACCACCTGATGCTGTTCGGGGCTCCGGAGCTCAGCTCCACACCAGAGAGCTTGAGGCAGCAGGAAAGCCTGCTTTTGTGAGCACAGAGGTGGCTACGCAGAGCGCCACGGCCCCTCCTTCTGCCGGTAGAGCCCCTTGGCCCTTCCAGGATGAGGAGCAGGCGGGATGGCACACCTGGGAGACTGCCATCCACCCTCCAGCCAGACCCAGCCCCGGCCTCGGTGTCGGCCCCAAGCCCCAGGAGGACACCTTCCCCCAGGGGCTGGGGCTGCCTGTGCTCCTCCTGTCTCCCCTGCTGGATGTTAGGCCCATGGTGGCCCCAGGGACTCGCTGGTGAAGGAAGGCACACTCAGCACACTATGCTCACCAACTTACCATGCGGGGTCCTTCTAGGACAAGGGTCTCCGTGGGAGGTTTTGCACGCAGGGGGCATTTGGCAATATCTGGAGATGGTATGGGTTGCCAAACCCGTGAGGTGGCGGGGGTGGGGGTAGTGACATCTAGAGCCTAGGGTCAGGATGCTGCTAAAATCCTACAGTGCGCGAGAGGGTCCCCAGGAAGAATCAAGCAAGAAGTTAGTGAAGCAGGTAGGAGACCAAACTGCAGGGACGAGCAAGCAGAGGTCGGCAGCGATGCTCACGACCTGGGGCCAGTGATGCTCGGGAGGCTCAGGACCTGGGGTCCCAGTGATGCTTGGGATCTGGGCCCAGCGACCCTTGGGATGCTCACGACCTGGGGCAGCAACCCTCACGACCTGGGGCAGCGAGCTCGGGAGGCTCAGGAGCGAGGGGCGGGTGCTCAGAGCCCCCCCCCCCGTGCGCTCACCAGGGAGGCAGCCGCGCCCGCACCTGCCGCTGGGCCTCCCCTCCCACGCGGCCCGCAGACGCGCAGGAGCCGGAGCCTCTGCAGGGCGCACTCAGACGCCGCGAGGCCCGATGCCCAGGGCACCCCTGATGGAGCCCGGCTGGTCCCTCGGCGGCCCCGTGGCCGTTCGCGGTCCGTCTGCGTGCTGGGGTCACGGCCTCGCTGCGGCCGCGGGCCTGGGGTGTCGGGCCTCTCCCCCTCCCCCTCCCCCTCCCGCCCTCTCCCCCTCCCGCCCCGGCCCCGCCCCCTTAGGGCACGCAGGGGGCGGAGCTCGGAGCGCGCGCTGGGGGCGGGGTTCCGGCGGGGGGCGTGGCCGGGCTTGGCCTGGGCGTGGCTAGAGGCGGCCCCTCCCCCCAGCTGAGCCGGGACCCGGCCCCGGCCCCGCCCCCTTAGGGCACGCAGGGCGCGGAGCTAGGAGCCGCGCTGGGGGCGGGGCTCCGGGCGCGGGTCCGGCGGCTGCAGCTGCGCGGCCGGGATGGGCGGGGCGGGGCGGGGCGGGCGGCGGCCGCGCGGGGGACGCACGACGTGACTCGGGCTGGGAGCCCCGCCGCAGGGTCTGCTCGGCGCGCGGACGCGGGGTCGGCGGCCAGGCCGGAGCCGGACATGCCGGGCGCGGTGCGGGCGGCCCGGGGGCTCGCGGGGCAGCTGCGGGCGCGGCCCCCCGCCCCGGACCCCGGCCCCCCCGCCGCCCCCCGCTGCTGCTGGCCGCGCTGCTGGCGGTGCTGCTGGGCGCGGGCGCGCAGTACTCGAGCGACCTGTGCAGCTGGAAGGGGAGGTGAGTCCGCGCCCGCCCCCGCCCCCGCCCCGTCCCGGTCCCGGGTCTCCGGCCGCCCCCGCCCCCCCCGACCTCCCCGCCCCCGGGCCTAGAACAAAAGGGCCCGCGGCGTCAGGGCGCCCCTCGGAGGAGCCCCGGGGGAGGTGCGCCCACCGCGCCGTGCGGCCGGGGACATCTGCGCGGGGCCGGGGACACCTGCGCGGGGCCGCTGCGCACGGGCCGCCTGAAGGTCAGGGCGCCCTTGGCAGCGCGCGCCGCCCGCGACCCCCCACGCCCCCTCCCGCGCGCAGCGGGCACCCGCTCAGGCGGCACGAGCAGAAGGGGTGCAGGTCACCAGGGGGCGGCGCGGGGTGCGCAGGCTCAGCCCGGGTGGAGCCGCCCCCTCCCCTCCCCCCTGCCCCGCGCGGGAGTTTGCATCGGGAGCTGCCCATCTGCCCGCCCGGCCCCCACCTGCTCGTGCTGGGCCATCACGGGGCGCTTTGGAGCCAGGACAGCCTTTCCGAGAAGGTGGGGGCGGCCCCGCGGCCCCCCTGCTCACCGCTCCGCACCCTCCACCCCTCCTGGCGGGTGCTGCGCCCCGGGCGCCGCCGTGGCCTTCCTCCTCCCTGCAGGCAGCGGAGCCCGGCGGAGGAGGGAGCTTGGGGCCATGAGCCGGAGCTCTGGGGGGGGGGCTGGCCCGGAGAAGCCTGGCGCCAGCACAGCGCTGGCTGGGAGCCTCCGAGTCTGACACACTCTTTCAGGGCTGCCCTTTCCCCCCGCGCTGGTAATTAAACTCCCTGCTTTGCAGCTTCTGCTGGATGAATCCGTGCACCCCCAAACTGAGGTCTAGGGCCTCCTGCTTCAGCGGGTCGGAAACAAGCCCGGCCCCACACAGGGAGCCCGAGTTTCCAGAGCAGGAGCTGACACCCTTCCAGGCCCTCGGAGGCCTATACGCCCGGACGGGATGCGTCTCCCGGGGCCCGAGCGGGCACCAGCTCCTGGAGCAAGCGGGTGTCTGCATCCACTTTTGTACCGGGAGAAGCGGGGCTGCTTGCCTGCCTGCCTCCCTTCTCTCTGCACCGTTGCCAACACACCCCTGATCCCGGACTGGCTCTGGCTGTCCCCCCCGCGGCCCCTGCGGCCACCGTGGGATCCGTAGGGAAGATCGGGCCCCCCTTGCATCGTACTCGCTGCCGCCGCCGCCGCGGCTGTCGATGCGCCTCACAGCTCCGCCGACAGGTCCTTGCTGCGGGAGCCTGGGTGCGCAGATGTGCCGGCTGATCCCCAGAACACTTCTGACTCTTTATGGGCTGTTCTGAAGACAGCACAGGAGGGGAGGGGCAAGACGGCGGAAGAGCAGGGTCCCCACATCACCTGTCCCCAACAAATCACCTAGATAACCTTCAAATCATCCTGAAAATCTACGAATTCGGCCTGAGATGTAAAGAGAGACCAGCTGGAATGCTACAGTGAGAAGAGTTCGCGCTTCTATCAAGGTAGGAAGACGGGGAAAAAGAAATAAAGAAACAAAAGGCCTCCGAGGGGGAGGGGCCCCGCGAGGAGCCGGGCTGAGGCCGGGGCGAGTGTCCCCAGGACAGGAGAGCCCCGTCCCGGAGGAGCAGGAGCTGCACCAACCTTCCCGGGCGGGCGGAAAGGGGCTCGCAGGGAGCTGGGGCAGGACCCAGGAGGGCGGGGATGTCCTCGGGCTCCCGGGGACACTAACAGACACCTGCGCCCCGGGAGAGTGCGCCGAGCTCCCTAAGGGCTGCAGCGCGCACGGCGGGGCCGGAGCAGCTCGGAGGGACTCGGGAGCGGCTCCGCGGAGGGGGCTGCGGGGCGGGAGCGCGAATCCACCAGCGCAGGCCCCGGAGCACAGGGCGCCGGGACACAGCCCAGGATCCGGCCTCCCCCGGGACAGGCAGAGGCCGGGAGGGCCCAGGACAGCGAGGACGCTCCTGCCCGGAGCTGAGCAGATCAGCGGCCCCGCCCCGGAGCCTCCAGGCCCTGCGGACGGAAAGCCCCGTAGTTCCTGCGGAGGCTGAATCCAGGCTTCCAGAGTTGCCATAGCAACTGCGGCTGTTCCTCCTGGGGCCTCGCGGGGTAAACAACCCCCGCTGAGCCCTGCAGCAGGCAGGGGCAGAGCAGCTCCCCCAAGTGCTAACACCTGAGAATCAGCACAGCAGGCCCCTCCCCCAGAAGACCAGCTGGACGGACCAGTGATACTCCCCCGTGTTCCAATACAACTTGTTTTTGGCCACTCTGCACTGAGCAAAATGACTAGAAGGAAAACCTCACCTCAAAAGAAAGAATCAGAAACAGCCCTCTCTCCCACAGAGTTACAAAATCTGGATTACAATTCAATGTCAGAAAGCCAATTCAGAAGCACTATTCTACAGCTACTGGTGGCTCTAGAAAAAAGCATTAAGGACTCTCGAGACTTCATGACTGCAGAATTTAGATCCAATCAGGCAGAAATTAAAAATCAATTGAATGAGATGCAATCCAAACTAGAAGTCCTAACGACCAGGGTTAACGAGGTGGAAGAACGAGTGAGTGACATAGAAGACAAGTTAATGGCAAAGAGGGAAACTGAGGGAAAAAAGAGACAGACAATTAAAGGACCATGAAGACAGATTAAGGGAAATAAATGACAGCCTAAGGAAGAAAAACCTACGTTTAATTGGGGTTCCCGAGGGCGCCGAAAGGGACAGAGGGCCAGAATATGTATTTGAACAAATCCTAGCTGAAAACTTTCCCAATCTGGGAAGGGAAACAGGCATTCAGATCCAGGAAATAGAGAGATCCCCCCCTAAAATCAATAAAAACCGTTCAACACCTCGACATCTAATAGTGAAGCTTGCAAATTCCAAAGATAAAGAGAAGATCCTTAAAGCAGCAAGAGACAAGAAGTCCCTGACTTTCATGGGGAGGAATATTAGGGTAACAGCAGACCTCTCCACAGAGACCTGGCAGGCCAGAAAGGGCTGGCAGGATAGATTCAGGGTCCTAAATGAGAAGAACATGCAACCAAGAATACTTTATCCAGCAAGGCTCTCATTCAAAATGGAAGGAGAGATAAAGAGCTTCCAAGACAGGCAGGAACTGAAAGAATATGTGACCTCCAAACCAGCTCTGCAAGACATTTTAAGGGGGACTCTTAAAATTCCCCTTTAAGAAGAAGTTCAGTGGAACAATCCACAAAAACAAGGACTAAATAGATATCATGATGACACTAAACTCATATCTGTCAATAGTAACTCTGAACGTGAACGGCTTAATGACCCCATCAAAAGGCACAGGGTTTCAGACTGGATAAAAAAGCAGGACCCATCTATTTGCTGTCTACAAGAGACTCATTTTAGACAGAAGGACACCTACAACCTGAAAATAAAAGGTTGGAGAACCATTTACCATTCAAATGGTTCTCAAAAGAAAGCAGGGGTAGCCATCCTTATATCAGATAAACTAAAATTTACCCCGAAGACTGTAGTGAGAGACGAAGAGGGACACTATATCATACTTAAAGGATCTATCCAGCAAGAGGACTTAACAATCCTCAATATATATGCCCCGAATGTGGGAGCTGCCAAATACTTAAACGAATTATTAACCAAAGTGAAGAAATACTTAGATAATAATACACTTATACTTGGTGACTTCAATCTAGCTCTTTCTACCCTCGATAGGTCTTCTAAGCACAACATCTCCAAAGAAACGAGAGCTTTAAATGATACACTGGACCAGATGGATTTCACAGATATCTACAGAACTTTACATCCAAACTCAACTGAATACACATTCTTCTCAAGTGCACATGGAACTTTCTCCAGAATAGACCACATACTGGGTCACAAATCCGGTCTGAACCGATACCAAAAGATTGGGATCGTCCCCTGCATATTCTCAGACCATAACGCCTTGAAATTAGAACTCAATCACAACAAGAAGTTTGGAAGGACCTCAAACACGTGGAGGTTAAGGACCATCCTGCTAAAAGATGAAAGGGTCAACCAGGAAATTAAGGAAGAATTAAAAAGATTCATGGAAACTAATGAGAATGAAGATACAACTGTTCAAAATCTTTGGGATGCAGCAAAAGCAGTCCTGAGGGGGAAATACATCGCAATACAAGCATCCATTCAAAAACTGGAAAGAACTCAAATACAGAAGCTAACCTTACACATAAAGGAGCTAGAGAAGAAGCAGCAAATCGACCCGACGCCCAGCAGAAGAAGAGAGTTAATTAAAATTCGAGCAGAACTCAACGAAATTGAGACCAGAAGAACTGTGGAACAGATCAATAGAACCAGGAGTTGGTTCTTTGAAAGAATTAATAAGATAAATAAACCATTAGCCAACCTTATTAAAAAGAAGAGAGAGAAGACTCAAATTAATAAAATCATGAATGAGAAAGGAGAGATCATTACCAACACCAAGGAAATACAAACGATTTTAAAAACATATTATGAACAGCTCCACGCCAATAAATTAGGCAATCTAGAAGAAATGGACGCATTCCTGGAAAGCCACAAACTACCAAAACTGGAGCAGGAAGAAATAGAAAACCTGAACAGGCCAATAACCAGGGAGGAAATTGAAGAAGTCATCAAAAACCTCCCAAGACACAAGAGTCCAGGGCCAGATGGCTTCCCAGGGGAATTCTATCAAACGTTTAAAGAAGAAATCATACCTATTCTACTAAAGCTGTTGGAAAGATAGAAAGAGATGGAGTACTTCCAAATTCATTCTATGAGGCCAGCATCACCTTAATTCCAAAACCAGACAAAGACCCCACCAAAAAGGAGAATTACAGACCAATATCCCTGATGAACATGGATGCAAAAATTCTCAACAAGATACTAGCCAATAGGATCCAACAACACATTAAGAAAATTATTCACCGTGACCAAGTAGGATTTATCCCGGGACACAAGGCTGGTTCAACACTCGTAAAACAATCAGTGTGATTCATCATATCAGCAAGAGAAAAACCAAGAACCATAGGATCCTCTCATTAGATGCAGAGAAAGCATTTGACAAAATACAGCATCCATTCCTGATCAAAACTCTTCAGAGTGTAGGGATAGAGGGAACTTTCCTCGACATCTTAAAAGCCATCTACGAAAAGCCCACAGCAAATATCATTCTCAATGGGGAAGCACTGGGAGCCTTTCCCCTAAGATCAGGAACAAGACAGGGATGTCCACTCTCACCACTGCTATTCAACATAGTATTGGAAGTCCGAGCCTCAGCAATCAGACAACAAAAAGACATTAAAGGCATTCAAATTGGCAAAGAAGAGCTCAACCTCTCCCTCTTCGCCGATGACATGATACTCTACATAGAAAACCCAAAAGCCTCCACCCCAAGATTGCTAGAACTCATACAGCAATTTGGTAGCGTGGCAGGATACAAAATCAATGCCCAGAAATCAACTAGGGGTGGTGGAAGGGGAGGAGGGCGGGGGGTGGGGGTGAATGGGTGACGGGCACTGAGGGGGACACTTGACGGGATGAGCACTGGGTGTTATTCTGTATGTTGGTAAATTGAACACCAATAAAAATTAATTTATTAAAAAAAAAAAGACAGCACAGGGTGGTGCGCGTCCTGATACGCTGGGCGGGTTCTGCTCCCCCGATAGGAAGGGAGTTGCTCTTTATGACACCGTCTACTCACACTTGACAGGCTGAAATGCGTTTCTGGGTGTTTCCAAGCAGCGAAGCAGGAGGTTTTGCCATCCGTGTCCCGTGTGCCGGGGCAGGACAGCGCCCTGACCTTTACGAGGCTGCGGTTGTAAAGATGGACCATGAACTTTCCCAGCGCCGTGGGCAGGGCTCGTGGCTCCATCGCACCCGGGCCAGCCCTCCTGCTTGGCGGGGAAATGAACGCTGGACCCAGTTACCGCAGCCTCCGGGGTCTCTCTTGATCCCCCAGGAGACTCCCCAGGAATCCTGACTTTAGAGCACGAGCGCTCATCCTTTCCTCCTGCTGCCGCAGGTGAGCCTTCAGAGAGTCCCGTGTCAATTTGGAATTTGCTGTCCTTTCCGTGAAGGCCCCCCCCCGGTGTGGCCACCTGGGCAGTGACACTTGCAGACTCCTCTTTTTTTTTTTTTTTGGAACAACGCAGAACCCCGTTTAAATAACCCGAGAGCAATCCGTGTTCTCAGCTCCCTGGGGCTGCCTAGAAGCGCAGATTTTTCTCTTCTCTTCAGCTTCATCACATCAGAAAGCAGTTCTTTTGTTTTTGTCCGATAAGCGTGTCCCTTGCTTGCATGCTGTGTGAAAATCATAAATGCCACCCTCAGTGATGTCACAGATGTGCACATTTTTGCACCGCCAGCAGTTTTGCATAAACAGAAGTTTTTTGGGGTTTGCTGTGGCGCTGGAAACGCCGAGGCGAGAGATTTGACCAGATTTTCTGGTAAGAACCAGACAGACTGAGTCCTCGACTTTGATAAAGACCCCGTGGGTGGGGCCCAGGCTGACCCCAGTCTTGCACAGCACAGGCTGCTGGCCTTCTCGCCAACACTCTGTGTCGAGTGCCTGGCTGGTCTCTTGGTCTCAGCACTTGGGAGGAACACGAGGGGAGACAGAGCGGAGCGCAGGCTGGCCGCGGCCGCTGGGACGGGCGTACACCTTCCTCCGGGGGCCAGCGAGGACACTGGGGAAAGGGCGACCTAACGGGCACCTTATTTCTTGTACGTCCACCTCCATGTTGTTCCTGGTCCTCTTTTAGTCGAGGACTTATGAATAAATGGAGCCAGGCGTACCCCGCAAGATGTGCGGGGCGGTACGTGCGGGTGGGGGCAGCAGCCCAGCCCGCAGACGCAGGTCTGCTTCCCCCTGGGCAGCCATGGCTTGGCCACCTGTCCCCGCCAGCATTCCCTCTGCCCTTGCCCACGACCTCCCCAGCCCCCCCCCCACTGCTTGGATTAGGGTGACTGGTGAGAGGGACCCAAAGCCTCCGGAATGAGCTTTCCTTCCCCTGGAGCCCCCGGGGCCTCCCCCCGCCTCCCCCAGAGAGGGAAGTGGAGCCTCGGACAGGACGGTTTTTACGGGAGACAGCATTGAGGGCTGGTGTCTGGGCACGGGGCCAGTGTCCAGCTGCCCCCGGAGGCTGGAGACAGGAGAGGAGGGACACTATGATAAAGTCTGTTTCGGCTGCCTAAGAGCAGAGCTGATTATAGTCATCTGTGCCAACCACTCACCATTTAGTCTAATTTTCTCACACAACACTGTAATTATGCTCATCCACGCATATGTGTCAGATGAGCTTATGTGAGTTTTATTTGACTGTAATTTGTACGTGTCCCGCGTGTGCGGCCCTGGTGGGCGTCTGAGGCTGGGCTGGCTGCTAGTGACCCAGGGCCTCGCGGGGGCGGGGGCGGGGAGTGGGGTTAGGAGGGGGGTCACCTCCTAGACACCTCCCTCTGATGTGGTCTGCAGGATGACTGTGCAGCCCCAGCCTGCAGCTGGCCCTCGTATGAAAAGTGAGGTTTTTTAGAGCCCGGAGCATGAGTCACCAACAGTGAATGCAAACCACATGTTACGTGTTTTCTCCTCCGTAGAAAGGGTTTCTGGTAACTCGCTCAGGCCGGGGCGCGGAGTATAGCATTGTTTATCGCACATAAAAATCCCAAGAATGTGGGCGAACCTGTCCGAGATCTGATCAGAACCGAATTTCACGTAACAGAACGCTGGGTGGAAGTCACCGGTGCGGTGCCAGGCGGCCCGGTGGGCCTGACGCCGCCGTTCGCCCGGGCGGACACTCACGTCCAGACTGGGGGCTGGGGAATCTTTCACGCTTTTGGTGGTTTCAGCGTCTTGAAAACACCACGTAATGACTTGACTGCAGACCTTTTCACCCAGAGCGTAGCACGCCTCACTTTTTCCTATTTGGCCTTTATTGGGAGGGAGATGGACCTGGGCCTCCGAAGCCTCGCCTTGGGAAGCGGGGCTGTCTGTCCACCGCTTGTCCCTCCCGTGGCTTCTCCCCGCGTCCTCTGTGTGTCTCTCCCGCGCGGGGCCTCGGCCCTGCTCTTGCATTTTGATGATATTCGAGTTTATTTTTTAAAATAACGATGGGCAATGGCAGGGTCTTCGGGGTTTTAAAATTTTTTCTTTATCTGAGAGCACCTGGGGGGCTCAGTCGGTGGAGGGTCTGCCTTTGGCTCAGGTCATGATCGCAGGGGCCTGGGACGGAGCCCCGCATCTGGCCCCCTGCTCCCCGGGGCGTCTGCTTCTCCCTCTCTCTCTGCTCCTCCCCCTGCTGTGCTCTGTCTCTCTCAAATAAATAAATTAACTGAATTTATTTTTTCTCTAAGACTTTATTTGCTTGAGAGCGAGAGAGTGGGAGAGAGCAGGAGGCGGATGCTTCACCGGCTGAGCCTCCCTGGTGCCTCAAGGTTTGCAAAGGAATGAAAAAGCGATCGGGTCATCATTTCAGGGAAAACACAAACAGGCCAGTCTGTGAGGCGCTGAGGGCAACACTCGCCAGCAATGCGCCGCCCCCCAAATTGCTTTCGTTCATAATTGGCTTGTTTATTTATTTTTTTGAGATTTTATTTATTTATTCATGAGAGACACACAGAGAGAGGCAGAGACAGGCAGAGGGAGAAGCAGGCTCCATGCAGGGAGCCCAACGCTGGACTCGATTCCAGGACCCCGGGGTCACACCCTGGGCCGAAGGCGGCACTAAACCGCTGAGCCACCCGGGCTGCCCTATAATTGGTGTAAAAGCTACTGTCTGGGCCAAGGGCATCTGCCCTCGCTCCTGGAACCGGGATCGGTGCCCTCGTTCCCATTTTAGAAGATCCCCCTTCCGGGGCCCTTGGCTCTGTGATGCAGGGCGCTCAGGCACCCGGGCGCCCCCCGCGCTGCAGGCCGGCAGGTGTTGAGAGGGGCTGAGGCCCACTTGCCGAGGCGCATCATGGCCATCTCCCCACGACCCCCTGGGACGGGCCCGCCGGCGGGGTCCGGGCGCAGGGGCTGGGTGCAGGGTCCGGGCACGGGGACCGGGCATGGGGGCTGGGTGCGGGGTCTGGGTGCGGGGCTGGGCGGCTGCCCCTCCCAGGAGCGGCCCCACAGGCAGGGCAGAGGGGGCTGCAGCCTGCAAGCGGGTGAGGGGTGGCGTGGGCACCTAGGCCACCGGGGGGAGGGGGGTGACCCCAGGTGGGGCGGTGGCCCTGGCTGACGCGTGTCCCCTCTGCAGCGGGCTGACGCACGAGGCCCACAGGAAGGAGGTGGAGCAGGTGTACCTGCGCTGCTCCGCGGGCTCCGTGGAGTGGATGTACCCGACGGGGGCTCTCATCGTCAACGTGCGGCCCAACACCTTCCCGCCTTCTCGGCACCTGACTCTGTGCATCAAGCCCCTCAAGGACTCCTCGGGGGCCAATATTTATTTGGAAAAAACTGGAGAACTGAAGCTGCTGGTGCGGGACGGGGACCGCGGGCCCGGCCAGGTGCGCTGCTTCGGCTTCGAGCAGGGTGGCCTCTTCGTGGAGGCCGCGCCCCAGCAGGACATCAGCAGGAGGACCACGGGCTTCCAGTACGAGCTGACCAGCCGGCACGCCGAGTCGGACCTGCACACCCTGTCAGGTGGGTGGGGTGGCGCGCCCCGGGGTGGGGGGCGGCCGCGGGCACCGTGGGGATCGGACGCGCCCAGTGGTCGGCGGGGACGAGCACGCCCTGGACTGGCCGCCGTCCCGGCTCCTGGTGCTCCTGTGCTGGGACCGCGGGTCCCGGGTTCCGGAGGCGTTTTGTGGGTGCGTGTCATCAGGGCGACCCCACGTGGAGCGGAGACGCCAGCAAGCTGCCGGGAGCGGGGCTGTGGGCCAGGAGCCCGGCGGGGACTCACCTGCGGGCCCCGTGAGCGGCCCTTGGGGAGCCTCCTCCCCTGCAGGGCCCCCCGGGGGTCCCGTGCTGGAGGGGCCGTGTGCGCCTGGGGCCGTGGGTCGGCTGTAGATGGTCCGTCAGGTTTTGTTTGGAGGCAGGCTTTGCAGGGCCCTGAGCGGAGCGTGGTGTTGCTCACTGAGCAGCACCAGAGGCAGGGACGAGGAGGAGGGGTGGCCTCAGCCCTCACGTGGCGTCGGTCCTGCCCCCCGTGCCGCAGACCCGCGCAGACAGAAGTCCTTGCCGTCAGACGCCAGGCCGGGCGTCCTGCTCTCGCTCCCGGGCACGGACGACCTCACGGGCCGGGGTGTGCGGGGACACCACCCGTGTCAACTCCGAAGCTGGCTGGAAGCAGTGGGGCGGCGTGAGCTTGGCTCCAGGAAGGCCGCTGCCCGGGTGACCCAGGGGGGACGGGCAGGCGGGGCCTTGCCGACACCCCACAGAGCCCGGGGCGGCCCCAGCACGAAGCTGAGCCAGCCTCGCGGGCGAGGGCGCCACTGCAGAGACCCCCGGGGCCCCCAAGCGCGCTCTCATCTCCACCTTCCAGTAAATTAGAGATCTGATTGGGGCAAAACAGATCTGCTAGGATTTGAAATGCAGACTCTCCGCCTGAGTGTGAGTCCACGTTTTATTGCTCATGGCTCCGATCCGTCTTCACGACTTGTAGTCTCTGAGTAAACTGGCCTGTTAGAGAACTTGGCTGTGGGGTTGTCTAGGCTGGACCGTGACCCCCTGACACCTGACGGTCCAGGTGGGACCCTCACCCCCCACAGCTGATGGTCCAGGTGGGACCCTGACCCCCCCACGTGCCTGACTGTCCAGGTGGGACCCTGACCCCCCACAGCTGATGGTCCAGGTGGGACCCTGACCCCCCCACCTGCCTGACTGTCCAGGTGGGACCCTGACCCCCCACAGCTGATGGTCCAGGTGGGACCCTGACCCCCCCACATGCCCGACTGTCCAGGTGGGACCCTCACCCCCCACAGCTGATGGTCCAGGTGGGACCCTGACCCCCCCACGTGCCTGACTGTCCATGTGGGACCCTGACCCCCCACAGCTGATGGTCCAGGTGGGACCCTGACCCCCCCCCACATGCCTGACTGTCCAGGTGGGACCCTGACCCCCCCAGGTACCACCTGCCCCCCCACCCCCCCAGGCCAGAGGCCTGGCCAGGACTCCTGCTCAGGACGGTGGCATGAAAGCTGCTGTATTTGTCAGGATCTCAATGAAATTCTCACCTGAAGAGTCTTTCTGTTGGTCCCCATCTATGGGGTGGGTGGGAGAGCTGGGGGGGCTCCTAGAGATAAAGTCACAATAATAACAAAACCTGAGAAACTGAGTCACCACATTCGGTGTCTCTGAGTAGGGGCAGCCGGCCAAGGGGGGACGGGAGGGACGTTACCCCCGAGGGGGGCAGGGCCTGCGGCCGGCGGTGCCCCAAGCTGCCTGCTTTCATCGGGGGCGGCCCCTAAGCCCTTAATGCCCGAGGAATGGGCACGTAATGTGGAATGTCCGCACCAGCCATCTGGCGGCCGCGGTGCCCGCGGGGGGAGCGCCCGGGACGGGCCGGGGCTGGGGCGTCGGGCCCAGGCGGAGGGGCCGCCTGCCTCCCGCCGACTCACAGCGTCTAGTTTGTGCTGAGGACAGAGACGCTCCCTGGGGGGGACGCATGTGAGCCCGGGCGCTGCCGCCGGGTCTGTCGTGAGGGCCGTCGCCTTCGTGCACTTGCACGGGAGAGGCAGCGGCTCCCCGGGCGCAGGCCAGGGGCGGGGGGCCGGGGCTCGGGGTGTAGCCATCACGCCGTGGGCAGTGGGACCCGTGCCCCAGGCCCCCCCGTCCCCGCACCACCGGGAGCCTGCGCTGTCCAGGGGCCGGGGGCGGATGGCTGGGGGGCCCTGCCTGGTTGTAGGGGCGCAGACCGGCCTCCTGCTCCCTGGGTCACCTGGGGCAGCCACATCCACGGTTTGGGGTCTGGGGTCTGTGCAGGTTCCTGGAGCCCATGAGGTGGAGGACAGCCCCCCCTTACAGCTGCATTGGATGAGCAGGGGGCAGGGATGCCCACGGGGTGGGCAGGTGGGGGCCCTTCCGGCTCGGTTTGGGGGTGGCTCTGGAGGGCGGGGGTGAGCAGCCACGTTCACCAGTGAAAGAAGCCCCATTATGTCCCGGAGACAGAAAAGGAGGGAGAACTGAAATTTTTTTTTCCTACGGATCACTTCGTGTCCTGCCCTGGGTTCTTGGCTCCGTAATTACTGGGTGACTATTTGTCATCTGGCACAGCTAGGGGCGTTTTGGGGTGTTTTGGGGTGGAAGGGAGTGGCCTCCCCCTGCGTCCTCCCCGGGGCAGCAGCCGGGCCGTGGGGCCGTCCTGGGGCCACACCAGCGGGCGCCTCAGCTCGCCCCGGCCTGGTCTGGGGGTGTTCCCCGCGCCCCCCAGCAGCGCCGCGCCCGCCACCTGTCACCGACCGCCCTGGCAGGCGTCCCCATGCACGTTCCCCTTGAAAACTGTGTCCACCGGGCGCCCGGACCCGGGCAGCCCCGCCGCCAGCCCAGCCTCTCCCCTGCCAGGGCCGGACGCGAGGGGTGCTGCGCGCCCCCTTCCCCGGCACTGCCGGCCTCCCTGGTCCCCGCAGCGGCCCCCGGTCACTGCCCTGACCTATTTTCTTTTTTTTTTTAATTTTTATTTTTTTATGATAGTCACAGAGAGAGAGAGAGAGAGGCAGAGACACAGGCAGAGGGAGAAGCAGGCTCCACGCACCGGGAGCCCGACGTGGGATTCGATCCCGGGTCTCCAGGATCGCGCCCTGGGCCAAAGGCAGGCGCCAAACCGCTGCGCCACCCAGGGATCCCCCCTGACCTATTTTCTTAAGCTCATTCCATGCGCATTCGGGGGGACCCCCCTGAGACATCCACGCCTCAGCCCCCTCCTCCGGAGGAAGCGGGGTCCCAGCTGGCCGCCCCCTCCGCGTCGTCCCCCGCCAGGGAACGAGATTCGAAGCGTCCGAAACCAGCACATTCCACGGCCTTTACGAGCCCAGCTCCGATTGATAATCGTTTCCAGATTGCTCCTCTTGGATTTTCCAAGGAGGCGACCTGCCTTTCGTAAAACCCACAACGACGAGGGGAGACCCCAGGGCGGCACCTTTTTAGCTCGGCCGTGGTGGGTCGCGGAGGCTCCTGGCGGAGGGTCTGGGGGCCGCAGACCCCCAGCCGCCACCCTGCGGTGCCTGCGACCGGCTCCTTTGCCCTTGGCAGTCGGCCGAGGTCCCGGGGCCTGTGTCCACGGAGAGGGTGCAGTGGTGTGCCGACACCCCTTAGGGCGCTGCGCGGCCTGGGCCCAGGGCCTGCCGTGGCTCCTCGTCCCGGGCGAGGGCTCGTGGGACACCAGGAGCACCGGTGACGCTGGGAGGTCTCACGTCTGCTGCGTGCCCCTGGCCCTGCTGCCTCTGAGCAGACCTGGGCACCCCTGCCCCCTGCGGGGCTGCGTGCGCGGCCTCCTCACTCCCCACCGTGTGGCCTAGGGGACGCCCCGTGGGTCACCCTCTTTTTGAAGAGGCCCGAGGCTGGGGGCACAGAGCCACAGTGCCGAGGTGGGCAGCAGTCCTCGGGATTTGGGGCTGGGTGGGCGGGTGCCCGGGCCTGTGGGCGGGCTGGACGCGTCCCACGGGTCGTGCTTGTGCTGCAGTGTCCCCCGGTTCCCGACCACCCGGTGGGAGCAGCCGTGGTGGGCGGCCAGCGAGCCGGGCCCTCCCGAGTCGCACCCACCCCACCGGGGGCAGGACGACGAGCGCTCGGAAAGTCCCGTCCACCCCCCGGGACCCGGGGCGTCGGGAGGCCTCTCTGGGCCCCTGGACGGCTCGCCTGGTTCAGGGCTCATGCGGGCGACCGGTAGCGTGTGGACAGGGTCAGCTGGGCCTGGCGAGCGCCAAAGCCACGGGCGTCGAGAGCTCCCTCGAGGCTCCAGGCTCACCTGCCCCGGTGCCAGGCCCTGCGGCCGCTGCGGCCGGAGTCAGAGGCCGTGAAGGGTGCGGCGAGGGCCACATACGGCGGCGTCCCAAGCGCAGGCTGGGTCAGAGGCGCCTGGTCTGGGGGCAGAGTGGCCGGGGCCTGGGCTCCACCTCCCCGCAGCCTCTGGAGGAAGTGGGGGTGAAGGGCGGGTGAGGGCCGGGCCGGGGCAGCAGGTCACGGGCGGGCGAGGAGGAAGCCGGCCTCACCGGGCGGCGGCCTTGCCCGGGACGCTGTTTGCAGGTGGGTCTGCGGGAGCCCACGGCCTCTGCGGGCAGGTCTGCCCTCCCCGGGCGCCCGCGGCTTCGGCGGCCCCGCGCCCCCACCCGGCAGCTGCGGCCTGGGTGGGCTCTGCACTTGGGGTGTCGCGTGGAGCAGGAGCAAAGGCGGCATCGGCCGGGCTGGGGTCGGGACCCGTGGGGCTGCTTTCCCGCTGGCGACGGCGCGGGAGTGGTTTACGCGAGGGTCCCCCGCCCGCCGCACCCGCGAGCTGCTCTTCCTTGGGGCCACCCTGCCCGTGCCGCTCCCCAGGTCACGGCCCCCGTGGGACCGGCGATCGTGGATGGGGTCTGCTCACACCCCGTCCCCCTCCTCTCTCCCCGCAGCCCCCTGCCGCCCTTGCAGTGACGCGGAGGTGCTGCTGGCCGTCTGCACCAGCGACTTCGGTGAGTCCTCAGGTGGCCTGGGAGACCTTCCCGGGGGCGGGGGGCTGGGGGTGGGGAGGAGCCTGCGGAGGACCCTTGGGGGCGCTCTGCTCCCTGTCGTCATAGTTACAGGAAACCGCAGCAGAGTGACGTTTGTCTACCGGGGTCGGGGGGACGCGAATGGAAGCAGGGAGAGGGTGGGCATCCTGCTGGGGCAGAGCGGAGCACTGCCCTCTGGTCACTGATGCTCGCCGCACCCGAGCCCGTCCTCATCGGGTCCCCGTGAGCAGTACAGCGGGGGCCCTGACCTGGGGGGGTGGGGCCCGGGGGGTCAGGGGCTCACGACGCTGGGGCTGGACCGGCGCTGAGCACCCCCGGCCCCGAGGGCCGTTCTGGACACCGGCCGGGTCCTGGCAGTGGGCCTGCGTGTGCCCCGGGCCTGCTCAGCAGCTCCTGCCCCCTCCACTCCAGCCCCAGTGGACGCGGAGCTGCTCAGGTGTCGTGCATTTGCCGCGGTTACTTGTCCTGTCCTGACCGGAACCGGCGCAGGGCGTGATCCCTTCCCTCGTTGCCCCCCTCCCGGGGCTGTAGCCCAGACCGAGCCAGGGACAGCCCCCAGGCGGCCTCATGCGCGTGGGCTGTTCCCCATACCGGTTGCTGGAGTGCAGGGTCAGGGCCAGCCCGGGCGCACGTGCCCCTGGCGACCCCACTGACCCCGTCTCCTTGCCCCGCAGTCGTCCGAGGCTCCATCCAGAACGTCACGCACGCGCCGGAGCAGCAGGAGTCGGCCATCCACCTGCGCGTGAGCCGCCTCTACCGGCAGAAGAGCAGGGTGTTCCGGCCGGGCCCGGAGGGCGGCGGCTGGCGGGGGCGGGTGGCCACGCTGCTGGAGTGCGGCGTGAGGCCCGGGCGCGGCGAGTTCCTCTTCACCGGCCACATGCACTTTGGGGAGGCCCGCCTCGGCTGCGCCCCGCGCTTCAAGGACTTCCGGAGGATGTACCGGGACGCCGAGCAGAGGGGCCTGAACCCCTGCGAGATGGGCACGGACTGAGGGGCCGCCGGGCCCCGGCCAAGGACTCCCGGCTGGTGGGAAGTGTTGTAAGATGCAAACTAAGTTGTTATATTTTTTGTTTTTGTTTTTTGTTTTTTGTTTTTTATGATAGTCACAGAGAGAGAGAGAGAGGCAGAGACACAGGCAGAGGGAGAAGCAGGCTCCATGCCCCGGGAGCCCGACGTGGGACTCGATCCCGGGTCTCCAGGATCGCGCCCTGGGCCAAAGGCAGGCGCCAAACCGCTGCGCCACCCAGGGATCCCCTATTTTTTGTTTTTTTTAAAAGAAACGTCCATAGGAAACAGACTCTGGCGTCTTAAAATGCCTCGTGAGCCGTTTCGTGCTGTTTCCCGCAAGCCCCTGAGGTCATCGCGTTGGGCACAGCGTCGCGGGCCACCAGGCCGTGGCCGCACAGGACGCCGGGCGCCGGGGCGGTTCCGAGCTGTTCCTTACGACAGAAATTCACGGAGCCAAATACTTAGTTTCTGTTTTGTGTTTCAAAGAATGGGCTTTGCGACCCGATCTCTCGGGGGCTACACTGTTTCCGTTCCAGAGAATAAAGACCAGCAGCTGCAGGAAGAGGGGGCGTCCGTCCGCAGCCCCGTGGGGGGCGCGGGGCACCTCGCGGGCCGCGTCCCGGCCTCTCCCGCGCTCCGCACCCCTGCGGGGGCCCCAGGGCCCCGGTGCTCCGGGCCTTCCACCCGGCCCAGCTCTCGGTGCGGCTGTTGCGCTCGAGCTTCAGAGAGCCCCTGGGCCGCACCAGGTGGCGCCTCCTCCTTCCACCCTGTCCCCTTCCCGTGGGCCCAGGCCCCGCCCTGGCTCCAGCGTCCCCCGAGTGCCTCGGCCACGGCAGGTCTGTGCGCCCGGAGCCCGCTGCTCCACCCAGGACGAGCCGGGCACAGGCAGGGCGTGAGCAGCACACGTTCCCGCCGTTCCGGAGCCGGCGTGCAAAATCGAGGTGTGGGCAGGCCGGGCTCCCCCGGAGGCTGTAGGGCAGGACGCGGTCCGTCTCCTGCAGCCTCTGGGGGCTGCCGAGCGTCCTCGGGGTGCCTTGGCCCCCAGAGGCGTCCTTCTAGGCTCTGTCTCCTTCTCCCCTCCGCGTGTCTGGGTTCCAACCCCTCCTCTTACAAGGACGCCGGTTACGGGATTAGGGCTCACCCCAGTGCAGTGCAGCCTCCTCTAAGTTCGTTACATCTGCAAAGACCCTGTCTCCAAATAGGTTCACAGTCGTAGGTTCTGGGTACATGGGAATTGGGGAGGACGCTATTCACCCCGCTACGGGGTCACTTGGGTGTCCAGTCATCAGACCTAAGCCTGCATCCGTACCTGTGTGTCAGGTGGTTTCCCCCAAGCAGCTGCTGAGGCACAAGGGGGCTCTGGGAGAGGACACTGGTCAGTGAGGCCCAAACTCAGCACACTGTGTGGCTACACGTGGGTGCTGTGCCGTGGCTCAGGTAAGTGTGCGCTGGCTCAGGTAGGTGTGCGCTGGCTCAGGTAGGTGTGCCCTGGCTCAGGTCTACCTTGCATCAGATGTACAGTGCTTCAGGTGGGTATGGGCTGGCTCAGGTAGGTGTGCCCTGGCTCAGGTGTGGACTGGCTCAGGTAGGTGTGCCCTGGCTCAGGTAGGTGTGCACTGGCTCAGGTGTGCGCTGGCTCAGGTAGGTGTTTGGCTCAGGTAGGTGTGCCTTGGCTCACGTAGGTGTGCACTGGCTCAGGTAGGTGTGTGCTGGCTCAGGGCTACCTTGCATCAGATGTACAGTGCTTCAGGTGGGTATGGGCTGGCTCAGGTAGGTGTGCCCTGGCTCAGGTGTGGACTGGCTCAGGTAGGTGTGCCCTGGCTCAGGTAGGTGTGCACTGGCTCAGGTGTGCGCTGGCTCAGGTAGGTGTTTGGCTCAGGTAGGTGTGCCTTAGCTCACGTAGGTGTGCACTGGCTCAGGTAGGTGTGTGCTGGCTCAGGGCTACCTTGCATCAGATGTACAGTGCTTCAGGTGGGTATGGGCTGGCTCAGGTAGGTGTGCCCTAGCTCAGGTAGGTGTGCGCTGGCTTGGGTAGGTGTGCCCTGGCTCAGGTGTGGGCTGGCTCAGGTAGGTGTGCCCTGGCTCAGGTAGGTGTGCTCTTGCTCAGGTGTGTGCTGGCTCAGGTAGGTGTTTGGCTCAGGTAGGGGTGCCCTGGCTCAGGTGTGGGCTGGCTCACGTAGGTGTGCCCTGGCTCAGGTAGGTGTGTACTGGCTCAGGTGTGTGCTGGCTCAGGTGTGTGCTGGCTCACGTAGATGTGCCCTGGATCAGGTAGGTGTGTACTGGCTCAGGTGTGTGCTGGCTCAGGTAGGTGTTTGGCTCAGGTAGGTGTGCCCTGGCTCGGGTAGGTGTGCCCTGGCTCACGTCTACCTTGCATCAGGTGTACAGTGCTTCAGGTGGGTGTGGGCTGGCTCAGGTGTGCCCTGGCTCAGGCACGTGCTGGCTCAGGTCTGTTGGCTCCTGCAGGTCACAGCAAGAGGCAGGTGCTGCACACCTGCACGGCAGAAGCAGGGTGATGTCCTGAAGCAGCAGGCTGGTGATGGGAACAGGTCCTACCGCAGCCGGGGGATGTGCCAGGAGGACGCGCACAGCGACTCGGCTGCTGGGTCGGTGCTTAGGTTTGCTGGGTGTCGATCTGACGCTGGAGGCGCCGCGGGGCACGCAGGTCCTGCAGAACCAGAATGTCGGGTTTGGGTTTCGGTTTCAGGGCCGGCATTCTGCCCTAGGTCAGTACAGGGACCTGGGAGGAGCCGGGGACCTGACCCCCGTGCTGTGTACGTGGGCAGCAGCTTCCGCTCCGAGTGAGGCTCAAGCTTTTTACGAAGTGCCGTGGGCGCGGGGGAGCTGGCCTGGGGGCCAGGTGGAGGGGAGCAGGGCCAGCAGGTGCGGAAGCGCCCTCCCCAGGGCCCGTCTGTTCCGAGGCTGGCACTGCTGCAGGTGGGTGCCTGGTGCCGGCACACCCCGGGGCCCCGCTGCCGAGAGCCAGGCCGTCCCGCGGCCTCCGAGGCCACCGCAGATCCCAGCCTGCTCCGCGTCACCAGGGTTGTGCCTCCCAGGTCCGTCCTTGGGGAAGTCCCCGCACCATGGAGCCCTGCACGGCCAGGCCAGGTGCTTGGAGGGTCTCCGGATGCTCCTCCCGTGGCTGGCGGCTCTGCCCACTGGCCCGGACTAGTGTCCCCGTCTCAGCTGCCGTCAGTCCTGCTCAGTGCGTGGACGGAGCCGTGGGCACCCTGCTGCCGGCTCCGTCCAGGGGTTGAAGGGGACGCGTGACCTGGCCTGGCCTCCTGCCTCCTCCGACCCCCGAGTCTCCCGGCCGTTGCGCCGTCTGGTTCTAAGGAAGCGGCGAGGCCGTCCCAGCATGACGGCACCCAGACCCCTCGCAGGGGTCAGCCAGGACCCCGCGTGGCCCTGGAGGTGCCTCGTCCCCCAGCGGCCCCAGGGACACCCTCATCTCTTGACCCCGGCGGCCCTGGACAGCCCTTCTTGGCACGTTTCTCAAGCGCCGCTAGCGGGATCCGGGTCTGGGCCTGATGACACGGGTCGGGAGAACAGTCGCTTTCTGGGCCGTGGGCGGCGCGCTCTTCCCTTCACAGACTGCCCTGCCGTCCCAGATGGGACACACGGGGCCTCAGGCCGCTGCCCCTGCTGGCTCGGGCTCCCCAGGGCTCCGGCCCTGGCACCCCAATGCACAGCCCCCCCCATCAGGCTGACCCTGTGGCCTCCAGCTGGGGGCCTCTGGTCACACCCTGGGCCTAGTTTTGGGGCCTGTCCTGAGGGCTGGGGTGCGACAGACTGACTGTGGGGCCACGTGCTCCGTCGGGGACCAGCTGCGGCCCTCCGCTGCCCGGGGAACCTCAGCACCGCCCTGTGTGTGTGTCTGCTGGCCCGACCCCTGGTGGGGAGCCGGACCCGCGGGCGAGGGCCCCCCCATAGAAAACCCCGGCCAGCACCCTGTCTGCTCCAGCCCGAGACCCTGGCCCCTGGCGGGGAGCTGGGGGGGCTGAACTGTGGGCTCCACTCTGGTGCGGCAGGGCCTCGGGAAGGCCGGGGGTGCAGAGGCCCGGGGAGGAGGCCAGGGGGCCAGCGGAAGGGCCGGGGCATCAGGCGACACTTACCAGGTTTTCAGCAAGTCCCTCTTGCTTCATGCTTCCTTCCGCTTGGCTGGGGACACTGAGGAACAGGGTCCTGGGTCGCAGTTTGCGTGTCTTGTCCACCACCCGACGGCGTCCTTTGTGCCAGGTGGTCGGCAGAACAGTGGCCCCAAGGACGTCCTCATCCTCGTGCTGCGCCCCGCCCTGTGCTCCCTGCGGGCGACGAGGACTCGGTCCTGGAGGTAACATTGCTGATGAGACTGGGAGGTTGTTCTGGGTCGTCTGTGGGCCCCGAGGTCACCAGGGGTGACCCTAACCCTTAAAAGTGGGAGCAGGTGGCTGGGACCTTCCTACCCGGTGCTCGAAACACGCTCGGGACCTGTCTCGAGATCTCTTCCCTGGCGGGCCTCCGGGGCCGTGCACCTTCCTCACCCCTGCGCCCGTCTCCCCGTCTTTCCCTCTGGGTCTGTTGGTCTCGGTCCATCTTCCTGCGGCCCTGGGCGCCCCTGTCTGAGGTCACGTCCTCCACCAGATACAAGGCAGCGTGCTCGGGCGCTCTGGGTCCCCAGCCTCAGTGACACCCCCCGGCCCCTGGGCACCCCGCTGCGGCTCCGGGCCCCCCGCTCCTCTCACTGGTCTGCAGGGCACGCCCCAGGTCCTCGTCGCCGGGGGTGGTCAGCGTCGGGGCCATGCCTGGCTGCCAGGCTCTGCTCCCACACGTGCAGAAGGTGTCCGGCGGAGGGGGCCTGGCCGGAGCAGCCCCCCGAGGTGCGGTGGTGAGGAGCCAGGCCTGGGCTCCCCAGGTCCTTGCTGCCCATGAGGGACCCTCCCACAAACAGGGGCCCCTGCCGTGGTCCGAGCTGGCGCGGCCCCTGCGGTGCTCCCCCCACTGTGAGAC